GAGAATGCTGCATTACTTTTTTAATCTTATTTTTTTATAATTTAATTTAAATTTAATAACAAAATTAATAAATTTTTGGTTTAATAATATAATATTTTATAAAAATAATGATTCTGTTAGAATTCAAAGATAATCCTAATTATATTTTAGAATTTTTATATTTAAAATGAGACATTTAATTATGTTTATCTGCAGTTAGTTACATAAATTCAGATATAAAATTTTAATAAGTTGTACTTACACATAATCTACTTACAATCTTGAGTTTTAAGTAATATATATTAATAAATAATATTTTATACATAAAAATGATTTTTAAGAGTTTTTGTCAATTTTTTTATAATATAATATAGATTAACGTATTTACCAACAATTAATGTTTTGTAATTTATATATCTCATCTAGTCTTCAAATGAAGACATACCACGTGTCATGGCATCTGGTCTGGTAAGGTGATGAGTGTTTTCGAAGGCCAGCTTTCCATCAATAATTCTTTTTATTTTTATTTGTTGATAAAATAAATTACAAAGTGTGATATTTGATTGGTTTGAGCTTGACTTCAAAGGTCAAAGGTACCAGGAGGTTTCAGGTTTAAATCAAATGAAGAATAAAAATCCTTTTGTGGCTACAGAGGTTCAAATGTGGTGACTCCGGGCTATCTGCAAAACAGATGATCGTCTTGAAATTAATCGGCTTGCATAACAGATTGGATATCCAGGTTAATAAAAAAAAATTAATAAAAAAAATTTAATAAAAAAAATGTAATAAAAAAAGTGAAATAATTGAAAAGGACAGAGAATGTAGTGTAATGCATGTGAGGGTGGGGTGTAGGACAGCTGGCGATTGCGGTGATCCACCCATCCGCCGCCGCTGCTGCATGTGACCAGGAACATCGTACAAACAGCAACAGATTATAGGATCCTTGTTGCCCGCACTAAACCCTCTCAATTCTACCATGCATAACGTAAGATTTCTCTCCGACGAAACTTATTCTGACAAACATCATGTGAACACAAGATACACAATATAATACATAAAATTCTATTTATATGCTAAAGATTTGTTTATTGTCGGAAATGATTTATTGAGACAACATGTTGTCACTATAGGTTGTGGATGAAACTTTTCGTCGCTAAGACTCGCTTTTCTTGTGGTCACCACTGTTAAAAGAATACATACAAGCGATTCTCACTGTGATACACAAGATACATAAAATATGCCACTTTGATTTGATATCCATTGTATACATGTTGATACTGACTGTGATACCTGTTGTTTACGTTTTCACGACACCAACATTGTGATACCAATTATGTACACGTTGATATCCAATGTGATACCTATTTTTTACAACATGTCACAATATCAAATGTTAATTTTTGTAATACCACATGTGATTTGTGAATATGAAAAGAAAGAGAGTTGTGAAATATGTAACGAGAGAGAAAGTTGTTAGATAACTTATTTAAATATAAAATAGAAATATTAAATTAACAATTTACCCTACTTTACTTTAAAAGGTAACATTAATTAAATTAAATGATTAATTTACATTAGATGACGAATAATATTATAGACATAAGTTATGAAGTTGCATTTTTAACAAAAAAAAAAAAAAAAAGGGGAAGTTTAAAAAGTCCCAATGGAATTTTGTGTTTAGAATAATTAAATTATTGGACAATTTTTTAGAATAAATAAGTTTTTGAATATTTCAAAATTTATTAAACAACTCCCTGAACTTTTTAAAACTTGTTGGATACATCTTTATGACCTATAAAATCTGGTTAATGTGGTAAAATAATGAAAAAAAATCTGAAAAAGTCAATAAACTTTCATATTTTGAACGATTAAGTTTCTAAACATTTTGTTATAACCCAGATCTGAAGGTTGAACGATTTACACTAGAAGTTTGTAAGAGAAAGTAAACAAGAAGATTAAACAGAGAAATAGCGGCTGCTTTTCTTTTATTGATAAAAGAAATTACAAACT